CCATTTCTTCAGGTTTAATTCTGGGGGGGGGGGGGGGGGAGCAGAGGACAGAGTTCGAATCCAGAGGCACCTTTAAGACCAACAAAGTTTTATTCAATGTATGAGCTTTTGTGTGCACACACACTTCTTCAGATACACTGAAATGGAAATTCCCAAGTCCATACATATAGGCTGAGGGCAGCAAATTAGCATGCAGCATAATGAAGATATTTAACAGCTGCAAGGTCCAAACAGGAATAACAGGCTTAGGTTACCATTTGTTTGGGTTGGCGGGTATATGATCACAGTACCCGGATCTCTTCAGAGACAGCCGTGAGGCCCAGGATTAAGGGGCCAATATGGCAAGAGGGTAGGTTTGTGCTGCCACTGATTCCAGGGGCGAGGGCCTTCCTACATTAGAAGTAGACTCCGCCCACCATCCATAAGAACATAAGAGACGCCAATGTTGGATCAGGCCAAAGGCCCATCCAGTCCAACACTCTGTCACACAGTGGCCAAAAATACCAGGTGCCATCAGGAGGTCCACCAGTGGGGCCAGGACATTAGAAGCCCTCCCACTGTTGATCCCCCCAAGCACCAAGAAGACAGAGCATCACTTGCCCCAGAGTCCCTATCTATATCTTGTGGCTAATAGCCACTGATGGACCTCTGCTCCATATGCTTATATAATTCCCTTTTGAAGCTGTCCATGCTTGTAGCCGCCACCACTTCCTGTGGGAGTGAATTCCATGTGTGAATCACCCTTTGGGTGAAGAAGTACTTCCTTTTATCCGTTCTAACCCGACCACTCAGCAATTTCATTGAGTGCCTGCGAGTTCTTGTATTGTGAGAAAGGGAAAAAAGTACCCCCCCATTCCTTCAACAAGAATATTGCTTCTGCTGCCAATGAAACCCCTTTCTTGTATTTTGCAGCTTTCTCACTTGGGATTCCAGGATACGGTGCACAATTTAGGGGCTAGGGTTGTCAGCCCCCCCCCCCCGACACCAGCAGGGAATGGGGGGATCGAATGCCAGATCCAGGTTGGGTACTCCGGGAAATTTAGGGATGGAGGCTGGGGAGGACAGGGAACTCAGTGGGTTACAGTGCCACGGATTCCACCCTCCAAAACATCCCTTTTCTCCATGGAAACCGATATCTGTAGTCTGGAGATGAGCTCTAATTCCGGGGGTCCTAGGGGACATGCTCAGGGAACTTCCTGTTTTAATTTCTCTACTAAAATACAGTTCCCTTGTGTGCAGGTGTAAGAGGCCCCGCAGTCCTGTTTCTACACTTTAGCCAAGTCAAGTCAAGTCAAGTCAAATACCTTTAATGGCATAGAAGTAAGATATATAGATGTACAATAACACGGCATGAATATATAAGACATTATAAGCCATATGAATCAATCCATTACTAGAATAGATCTCTCTTTGACTACTTCGGCAAGAAACTTGGCCACTATAGCTGTAATATTAGGATTAGCATCCTTTAGTAGATTTTGAATAACTTTTTCCCTATTAGAACTATAATTAGGAGGCAATAAAGATGACCACAGTTCTTTGCGTAAGACTGAGTGAAATTGACAGTCAAAAATAACACAATATATGGAGTCCACGGATTTTAAAGGACAAGAACATAATCTTTCATGAAAGGGAATTCTACACTTCAGCAATGGCTGTCCTGGCTAGCGAGTGGCAGTGTAATATGTAGGGTTGCCAACTCTGGGTCAGGAAATTCCAGGAGATTTGGGGGTGGAGCCTTGGGAGGGCAGGTTTGGGGAAGGGGAGGGACCTCGGTAGGGCATAGTTCCATAGAGTCCATTCTCCGAAGCAGTCGTTTTCTCCAGGGAACGGATCTCTGTTTCAGGCTCCCCACAGCATCAAGGAAGTACACTCTTGTAGAAAGGTTTTACTTTATTTGAAGCTATAGGTGCATTTACAGGATCACTGTTAGGAATGAGGGGAAAGCAACGAGCATGACAGGTTACAGTACATTCAAACATCTGAGGCCCAATTGCAGGACTTCCCCCATGCACCATCAAGCCTGGGAGCAAACGCTTCTGGTCGGCATAACATATCTCCTTCCCACGGCTCTCCGTGAGATCACCCAAGCAACTATCTAGCAACGAACCACCTGTGGCCTTGAGAGATATACACGTTCCAGCAGCTAAGCAATTAAGCGCATCATCAGGTCTACATACTAAGCAAGTAAGCGCATACATGTGAAACCCAGAATAAAAGGAAATTTGGCAGCTTGCTGACACTCTGCCATCTGGAGATCAGTTGTAACCCCGGGAAGATCTCCAGGCCTCGCCTGGGCTCTGGCAACTCTGGTAATATGTTGTGCCTTCTGAGTCCAGCAAAAGTTTGGGATTAAAAAAAAAAGAATAGAAAAATTGACCCATCAAAGACCCATCAAAGAGGCGCAACACCAGCGGTGGATCGGACGTCGGCGGAGGCGGAGCCAGAAGACGCAAAGGACGTAAAGGCGCAGGCGCGGCGGAGCCAAACGGACAGAGCCGGAGCTGCGCTGACGCGAACCGTGCGCCAGATGGATCCGCTGAACACAGCCGACACTGAAGACCACCGGAAGGAGAAGAAGAGGAGCCAAACCGAAAAGCAGAGCCGACAATAAGCCGAACCGAAGAAAGAATAGCAAGTTCCTCCACTGGGTGCCGGTAGGGCAGTCCCTTACAGGCTTACAGTTACTCTTTATCCCTATCTATGGCCACACATAGTCAGGGATAAAGAGTAACTGTAAGCCGCTCAGAGACCCCTTGGGGTTCGAGCGGGATACAAGCTGAAAGCATAAATAAATATAAATAAATTAAAAAATCAGCAGAGTTAGGGAAGGGCTTTAAGCACCGTTCCAGTTTGTAACGCCTGTCAATAATCCCAATTCGCATGGTTGTTACCCCGTTCGGATATCATTTCTTTTTGTGTTTTATTGACTACTATTTTGTTTCCCGTCAATATAAGAATGATTCTTTGCTTTCAGAGCCATCCGTTTGGTAAATAAAGATCCCGGAGTTAATGGTTGTTACAGCAACGTATATATGGAGACGTTGTCTCCTTTTCTGCTAATATTGATTGATTGTGTGGGTTAAACTTTTATGTTTTGCATAAACCCTGATTTATGGAGGGTGGTTTTTTTAAAACAACAACAACAACAACAACCGCTGCTTGCAAAACTAGAAGTATGGGTGAAAAAGCTGATTTCTAGCCATTTGTGCGACTGCAGAGCAGTGTTCCCTCTAAGCTGAGTTAGTGTGAGCTAGCTCACAGTTTTTAAGCCTCCGGCTCACACATTTTTGTCTTTGCTCAGGAAGGGATGGCTCCAGAGCAAACTAATTGATGCAGCAGCCAGATCCCTCGCTCACAAGTTTCATGCCAGTTGTTCACAAAGGAGAATTTTTGCTCACATGACTCCAGAGCTTAGAGGGAACATTGCAGTGCAGAGATAGACTCAAAAGATATTGTAAAAATGAAATTCATGGCGGCGTCTGTATTGTAATATGTTATTTATACGGTTCAAGGACACACACAGGCCAGTGTGGGGTAGTGGTAAAAGTGTTGAACTAGGATCCGGGAAATCCAGGTTCGAATCCCAACTCTACTGTGCAAACTTGCTGGGTGACCTTGGGCCAATCACATACCCTCAGCCTAACCTACCTCTCAGGGTTGTTGTGTGCAGGGGTCGTTTTGTAGAAAAAGAGCTAGGGGAACTCATTAGCATAACTCATTAGCATATGCCACACCCCCTGCATCAGGGGCCCGCCGGTGGACCTGCAAGGCCGGCGGGAGTGCGAGGAAGCCCCGCCAAGGCCCTCCCTGGCCCCAGGCAGGCAGGGGTGGGGAGAGGCGGGGAGGAAGCAACTTACCCACCCTCTTCTCCTGCCTCCTCCTGGCTGAATGAGGGCCGGAAGCGGGGCAGCTGGAAGCAGGGGGCGGGGCTTCATCATGTGCCCCGCCCCCCGCACCTCACATGGGGGAACTGCGTTCCCCCGCGATCCCCCCCGAAATGACCTCTGGTTGTGTGGATAAAACAGAGGAGAATAATGTAAGCAGCTTTGGGTCCCCACTGGGGAGAACAGCAAGATAGAAGTCATAAATAAATGTCAAAAGATGCATACATTTTATGGCCAAAAAAAAATGGTGTCAGGAAACTGAGAATGCTGTGAAAATAAGAATCACAGGTACTTCTTTTTTAAGTGTGTGCGCGTGTGCATGCCCACGTATGCTTGCATGCCTGGAAGTCATGGTGACTTCCAGCAACCCCTACTGGTGGCTTGCTATGCCTGCCTCTGTGTCCTGGCCCTGATATTCCTTTGGAGGTCTCCAGGGGTCATTTCCTGCAGGAGCGCACAGGAGCGGAGCTCCGACAGTAAAGAGCCCAGGGGGCGGGCACATGCAACAAGCCACACCCCCTGCTCCCAGCAGCCCTCAGAAGAGAAGCAAGAAGCAGCCAGGTAAGTTGCAGAGCCCCCCACCCCGGTCCCCTGGCCCAAAACACTCCAGTGGCACCTTTAAGACCAAGTTTTATTCAGGTACAAGCTCTCCCTCCTCTGCAAGGACAGATCTGCATGTTCGGCCCCCCCCTAATAGCTAGCGATCCAAAACAGTCTAGTGGAGGCTGAGTGGTGGGTGTTGCCTTCTGACACACTTCCGGTGATGTGCCATATGCAAATAAGTTATGCTAATGAGTTATGCTAATGAGCTCCTGCACCTCTTTTTCTACGAAATGACCCCTGGAGGTCTCTCATCCAAGTACTTGCCCAGGTCGGCCCTGCTTCGCTTCCATGATCTGACGAGATCGGGCTTGCCTGGGTTATCCAGGTCAGGGCAAGACGAATCGCAGGTTCAATTTTACAAAAAGGAGAAACAAAACGAGGGACTCGCGGCTCAGAAGAACCGGAGTTCGGAACTCAAAACAGTCCCTCCAACCAGCCGGTGGGTTCTCCTTGGTCCCTCCATCACTGATGCTCTCCTCCTTTCCTGTCTCCCTCCCTGCCTCCCAACAGGCACCACGTCCACTATGTCATCCCCTACGACGGCGACCAATCCGTGGTGGACTCCTCAGAGAACTACTTTGTGACTGACAATGTAACCAAGCAGGAAATCGACCTGATGCTGGGACTTTTGTTGGGTTTCTGTATAAGCTGGTTCCTGGTGTGGATGGACGGGGTCCTCCATTACGCCGTGCGAGCTTGGAGAACAAGTCGACGGTATGGTAAGTGGCTTGTGGCCAGAAGTGTTGGGAAACGCAGCCGATTTGGCAAGGGGAGGCTGGGTGTGTGGAAGGCTGAAAGCTGGCCGGGTAAGGGGGAACTCAAGAGCCTCAGCCGGGCCCTGGAGGCTTCCTAACCTATTCCCATCGAATTGGTAGGTGGTAGATTCCTAGGGCCGCCAGCCATGTCCTGCCAACCAGTGGGAGATGGGGGCAGGTGAGTATTTAGCCCAGACGGGCAGTGGTTGCTGCTGCAGCATGATGACATCACTTCTGGTGCAACCATAGAGTTTTGGGGTGAGTGCTAGAGTGTCGCCCCAGCGTGATGCCAGTGCTTCCGGATTGGGCCAGAAGCGACGTAATCACAGCAGGCAGTGACCATAAAGTGCCGGGAGTTAGGCACCCCAAAACAACAAAGGACAGCGGAGTAAGAGAGCTGCTGTAACCAAATATGTTAAACTGGGCTGCATCTAAGATGGAGCAGATGGAGCAGATCTATTCTCTCTTGCTCCGGATTGCAAGACTAGATCTAATGGGTGGAAATGACAAGGGAGTAATTACCGGCTAAATATCAGGAGTAACTTCCTAACTGTAAGAGTGGTTGAGCAGTGGAACAGTCTGCCTCGGGAGGTGGTGGATGCTCCTTCGCTGGATGTTTTCCAGCGGAGGCTGGACAACCATCTTTCCAGTATGTTGTAGGTATGTAGGGCTATCTTTTAGCTATGCTCCTACAGAGTGCAGGGGGTTGGACTAGATGGCCTGCAAGGTCCCTTCCAACTCTAACATTCTATGATTCTAGGAGACTCCCAAATCATATAAAAATTCCACCAGTAAAGAATTCACAAATATTAACTGTATTGAAAACAATACAACACTGTAATCAAATACAACATCAGGACCAATGAACTCACAAAAATACAAGAGTCCAGTTGCCAACTGACCAAATAGGATGTAGTTAAGCAATCAAACTAACCAATAGCAATTACAATAACAATGCAGAGTAATTACATTCAGAAGTAACAGTGATACAAGGTCTCGGTATAGTTCCCTTGTTATTATTCCCAAGTTTATAGGAGGTCTCAGCTATTGGTTAGTTTGATTGCTTAACTACATCCTATTTGGCCAGTTGGCAACTGGACTCTTGTATTTTTATGAGTTCATTGGTCCTGATGTTGTATTTGACTACAGTGTTGTATTGTTTTCAATACAGTTAATATTTGTGAATTCTTACTGGTGGAACTTTTATATGATTTGGGAGTCTCTTAGATGCAGCCCATTTTCGGAGTTTAACATATTTGGTTACGGGAGTTAGACACCCAGCAAACTTATAGATTCCAGACAAACAGAAGTAAACTGCTTTTATGCTACTCATTGCTGCAAGATGTGGTGAAGGCCATTGCCTTAGGTAGCTCTGGAACGGACAGTGTTTCTTGGAGGCTGGGTCCATCGCAACTAACAGCCAGTCCCACCTGCATTTGCAGCATTTCCCCGGTCCCTGCAGTCCCTGTGGGCTTAAAAAAACCCAGCAACTGACATATTGGTGTGGCATTATAAGGTTATAACGATGTGTCCGCTAAGGTCTCTGAATTCCCAGCTTTCATCGTCAAACGTCTCCAGCCCCGTTTTGTTGTTGAAAGATGCCATTTGTTGACTTTCCCCATATATATCTCCAACATAAGAAGACAAATACTTCTTAAAAATGAAAGATGGCCGGCATATTGCTCTAACGTTATAGCGCTATAATGGCATGTCGATTGGCTTTTTAATTTTTTTGTTTCGAGCCATCATAATAGCCCCCCAGTGGCAGGGGGAACCACGATCGCTGGGGAGGACTGGGGCAGGGAAAAAGCAGGGAAACCTGCCATGTGGAAGTCCCGTTGGGGCCGTGTTGTTCTGGCAACCACAGTAGCAACAGGAAAGCTCGTCCCTGTGTGAAAACACTGACGTTCAGGAGACGTGCAGGATCTTTCTCTGCCTGAGGTCCTGGAAAGCCACTGCCAAGCAGAGTAAGCAATATTAAGCTAGATGGATCGGTGGCTTGACTCCATTGAAGTCAGCTTCCGATGGTCATATGAACCTGCTGCTGCAAAACTGTTGAAGAGTTCAGGGCTGCAGACGTGTCTTTTTATTAATACCAATGGAAGAGACGACAGGTGTTCAGGAGGCTGTTTTTCAGAGCAGCCATTTGGTTAGGGGTTATTTTGTGTCGGTTTTCATGGCCGTAAATTTGGGGAGGAAATGTTTTTAAGTGAGCCAAGAACCTGGCTACTTCAACGGGAGCTCTCAGCGCCCCCTCCTTCTCTCTGTCACCTATCGTCAGATCTCCAGCATACGGCTCGACGTGCCATTTCTCAATGTCAAAATGTCAGTCTCATTTTGATTGACATTGTTCTCTGTACCAAGGAACCTGAGAGCTGTAGTCCTTGGGAAGGGTTCAGGACATCTCTGGCAGAGAATACTCGGCCTGGTTGCAACCCTACAACTCTTGGGGCTCTTTGGAGGAAATTAGGACACTGAAATGAGATTGAAATCAGATTAAATGTATATGAAGGAGATAGGTCTTGTTATGATTTGTGAAAGCACTGTGATTTTAGACACACAGATTTTGGAAGGTTGTATTTGAGCTTTATTAAATGGGTACCCATCACATTTACAATGACAGCAATTGCAATACATTGTTATTGTGGGTAATAATGAACCATCACAAGAGGATACACAGCACAACTAGTTTGGTGTAGTGGCTAAGAGCAGTGGACTCTAATCTGGAGGACCAGGTTTGATTCCCCCCTCCTCCCCATGCAGCCAGCTGGGTGACCTTGGGCCAGTCACAGTTCTCTCAGAGCTGTTCTCTCAAGAGCAGTCCTCGAAAGAGCTCTCTCAGCCCCACCTACCTCATAGGGTGTCTGTCGTGGGGAGAGGAAGGGAAGTAGGTTGTAAGATGCTCTGAGACTCCAAGTGAAGGGTGAGGTATAAATCCAATCTCCTCCTCCTCCTCCTCCTTCTTCCACAGTAGAAAAATATAAGATACTGAGCGATGGATCCTTCCCGAGTAGTGAGATTCAAGACCAGTAACCCCTTAGAGAACAATGGGATTTCCCAGGTACAGGCTTTTGAGAGACAAAGCTCCCTTTATCAGATAACTTTGTCATGTATCTGATGAAGAGAGCTTTGACTCTTGAAAGACCGAAGACTTGAAAGACTGAAACTCTTGTTGATCTCTATGGTGCTTCCGGACGAAAATCTGGCTTTTCCGCTTCAGACCAACATGACTATCCTCTGAAACCCATCTTCACGAGCGGAGGTACTTTTCTCCGTGTAGTGTATTCAAAGCTGCCTTGAATGCATGATCTGTTGTGAAACATCTAATTGAAGTGTAATGTAAAGCTTCGTCCTGGGCTAGGATCCAAATCCATCCAATCGTGTTACTAGCCCAGGAAGCACCTAACCAATCACCTTCTAGCAAGCTCCCTGAGCGGGAACATCCGTGATTGGTCTTTATGTGAACAACCTTATTGGTTGGTATTTGTACAGTGGGTGTGGCTACATTAGCCGGGAATGTTTAAAAGCAGGACAGCTGCAATGTAAAGGCTGTTCTGGCTATCAGATGTTGATCCGTGTTGGAGTTGTGTTCGAGTTGAAGAATAAAGTTGTGTTCTTGCTGAATCACTCTCCGACTGCTTTGTTAAGTGAGTGACTTAACACTCCGGCAGACGGAACTGTCTTCTGATGCAAGAGATCTGCAAGATCTAACCTATAAATCCAAAATAGTAGATATCCATTCTTGGGTGCTGCCACCGCTCATTATCTGTCTATTACAATGCAGCCTTTGGGGTAGGCTTGCCAACTCTGAGTTAGGAAATTCCTGGAGATTTGGGGGTGGACTTTGGGAAGGGCTAGGTTTGGGAAGGATGTCAGGTTCCACAGCCAACAACGGAGTACATGCTTATCAGAAAGGTTATACTTTATTGCAGAGCTATAGAGGCATTAACATAGTCACTATTAAGAATGGCAAACGGTCCTACAAGCATAATGGGATATAGGGTATTCATATGCACTCCCCCCTTTCCATAAGTCAATTAGCCAGGCTCCCGCGCGCGGGAGAAGGGTCCCCGGGCCGTTAGAGGCCGCAGCTGGGAACCAAAAACGCTCCCACGGTTCCAGGCATTACAGACACTACACCAGCAACCTGCAAGGTCATTGATAAGCAAGCAGTACAGAAGCAAAATAAAGAAGCAGCATCTGGCCCAAAGAGGAAGAGAATTAACACCCCCCCCCCCACATCATGGCAGCATAGCTGACAAAGGAGAGGGACCTTAGTGGAGTACTCAATCAATCAATCATAAGCCTTATTGCATTAGCTCGCAGCCTTAGCAATTAACAGCAGAAATACCAACAACATCAGCATTATAATGCAACAATCACAATCACAGTAAAAACTCTGATATACATTACAATTTTATAAAAAGATCATTAAATTCACAACAAAAATTTGAGTTAAAACCAACATCAGTTCAAGCAATTCAGTCAGATAGTTGACCAAATACATAGATTTATCCATCAGCTGTATTAACAGTGGATGGTTCTGGTAAGGCTTTTATCACCCATGCAACAAACTTTGCCATTTGCATCGTTATCAATTTACTTTTGTCAACAAGTAACATAGTTAGTCTATCGTTATCCGGTCTCCCTGGATATTGTGCTAAATCAGGGCTTTTTTTGGTAAAAAAGCCCAGCAGGAACTCATTAGCATAATAGGCCACACACAACAGCAGTAACTCATTAGCATATTAAGCCACACCCCTGACAGCACAGCTCATTGGCATATTAGGCCACTCCCCCACGTTACCAGAAGTATGCTCATCCAGCCACACCCACCTTTTGCTTGTTATTCTGTTTACCTTGTTTGTTGTCCAAACCCAGGGCTTTTTTGTAGCAGGAACTCCTTTGCATGTTAGGCCACACACCCCTAATGTAGCCAATCCTAATGAGTTTCTGCTGTTGGGTGTGGCCTATTATGCTAATGAGTTCCTGCTGGGTGTGGCCAACTCTGGAGTCAGCCGGAACTCCGTTCCTGTGCGTTCCTGCCCAAAAATAGCCCTGTGCTAAATTATACCCAAGATATCTTTTGTGTTATAATGAGAATCTTGAGCAGTAGTAGACTACAAGGCCTAGGTCCTCAACAGAAATCTAATCGCAAGTACAGACACTTTCTTTATATGGGATTGCATTGTAACAGCCTCTTACCATTGCTAATTGTAAGGTATCCAACCATGCTTTGGGAAATGCTTTCTTATGCTTGGGATGAAATAAGTTGATAAGGTAAGATGGAAGAGTTAAAGGACCTTAGTGGAGTATAATGTCACAGAGTCCACCCTCCACAGCAGCCATTTTCTCCAGAGTAACTGCTCTCTGTCATCTAGGGATCAGTTGTAATTCTAGGAGATCTCCAGGCCCCACCTGGGGACTGGCAACCGTAATTTGGGGGGAGATGCTAAATTATACTTCCTGCCCTGATTGCTCTCTTGTCTCTCCTCCAACCTGGATTGTTGTCAAATTTTCGTTCTGAATGGGGGGTACCTTTCTCCATGAGCATGCTGGTTCTTTGCTACTAAGTTGGGGTCAAAACCACGCTGAGGTCTCTCTTCTCTCTTTCGCTCTCTCCCCTCCTTTTTCCCGTCTTCTCTTTCCAGACAATACGTGGTCTTGGATCCCGAAATTTTGTAACTTCAAGGAATTCAGAAAACGTCACCACAGGCAGTACGACGAGCCGACTGGGAACATGGTACACATTAAACAGAAGCTGTACCACAACGGGCATCCTAGTCCGAGACACCTCTGAAAAACCCAAGACTAATGAGGGGTGGTAGAACTTGCCTTTGCTGTTGTCCGAGAGGAACGTCCGTACGCCCGTTCCTCGATGGATGCCCGCTAAGGACTTCCTTTTACTTACCCACACGGTGTGTCCTCCCGACACACAGAGAATGCACAATTTACCCTTGTCCCGGATGCAAGGCCCTCAAGACGTTGCACTGTGGTTACCATTTTATTGGTGGACTTGTGTATATATGTAAAAACAAACAAACCAGATAAATCAAACAGAAAGAGAATTTGCATTATATTTCCAATCCCATCTTCTTCGATGGTGTCCCACCAATGGCAATGTATCTTTTTTCCCCCTCAGTTTTTTTTTTGTTTGGAAATCTGTCGTTGTTCCGGGTCGTCTTAGGTGAGTCCAGCCCGAAGAGCCGATGTTTAGCATTTTGAGAACTTTGGAACTAGTTTCTGGTTGTCTCCAACTACCCCTTTCCCAAATCCTTCCCAGTGTTAGGGTGTCTCGTTCCAATGTACATTTGGTTTTGAGTTTCATTCCGTCCAATAGCTACGATGTCTGTCTGTCCCACTTCGATTGTGCTTTGGGACAGGGTTGGTAGCTTGTTTTTTTCTGTTCTTTCCATTTTCTTTTCTGTTTCCGAAATGAATGGGATGTGTAGTTCTCCCTTGCCTGAATCTGCTGTTTCTCAAGGACCAACCGATACTGTTTTGCCACGTAAAATTTAGCAACCCGCAGGTTGGATGTAAGTAAGGCAATATTGCTCGGGCATCACTTTGGTGTTATTCCATTGGCTTTGGTGGAAATGCTGCAAGGTTGGTTCCCATGTCTCTTTGATTCTGTGAATGCTCCGGAGTCTGTGTCAACCAGTCACATATTCCCTGTCTTGAGAATTATTATCCCTTTTATCTATGTTGCATTGCTAAAGCGTTAGTGACAAAGTCTTGAAAACCAAAAGACATTTTGTGATAACTTACTCTTCGCCCGTAGAATATATACAGGAGTCTCTGGTGACCGATAGCTGATTCACCAAACCATCTCATATATGGTGAAGATGCCAAAGAGTTGACTTCTTGGGTGGGTCGACTGGTCTTATGAATGGTTCAACATGGTTCAACAGTGATTCTGGGGTCAACCCATGCTTGAGAAGTTTACCCAAACCATGACAAGCTGTGATCTTGGCATGCTCCAATACACATTAAAATCAGAAGGGCCCTGCTGGACCAGACCAAAGAGGGTCCCTCTAGTCCAGCCTCCAGTGGGTCCATCTAGTCCAGCATACTGTTTCCCATAGTGCCTAACCAAGTGCTCTTGGAAGGCCCAGAAGCAGCTCGCGGAGGCCAACGCCTTCCCCAGTTGTTGCCTCTCCATAACTGGTGTTCAGAAGTACCTTGTCTCTGAACATGGAGGTTCCATGTAGCCATCGTATCTCAGAGCCATCGATGGACCTATCTTCCATGAATAGATCTAATTTTTAAAAGCCATCTAAGCTACTGGCCATCCACCACATCCTGCGGCAGTGAGTTTCCATTTGTTAATTACGTGTTGGGCGAAGAAAGTCTCCGTGCAAGTCAAGATCATGGTTCATCAAGGGCTGGGGAACTCTTAATACATGGGTCTTGACCAGTGAGGTGTTAGTTCCTCCAAGTGCTGGAACATTTACAAGACCTCCCTCCCTTCTAATACCTACCCCCCAAAGATTAACTCTGCAGTGGCCTCACCATGTTCAAAAACCCATTGTGTGAATCAACGCTGATGTTGCTGTACATGATGGGGTGAATCTGTCCCCACCCAATACTGTTGGATATATATCAACCCTAATTCCTCAAAATAACTTATTATTTTAATACAAATGATTTAAAATGCACGTTTTAAAGTCCAGTTGTGAGATGTACCGGCCCTTTAAGATCAACGGGGGAGGAGACCCTGTGCCCTTCCTCTTAAAGGGACATAGTACATTGCTACAAGTAGAATTTCAAACTCCTGACATCGATGGGACCTCTGTATCTTTAAGAGCTCAGCACTAGGTCAGAGTAACAGGTGTAGAGTCTCCCCTCTGCTGCCCTTGTGGAACAAGATAAGCTACACCTGCCGAATTTCTGCTTCCCAGGTAGCTATTAAAGGCACTGTGTTCTCCTTCGAATTCAGCGTGGATAAGCTCTAGCCCATGTTTTTATATCCAACGTCCCCCCCCTCATTTATTTAATAATTTTTAATTTTTAAAAAAGACAAAGAATTATATCCTGCCTATTTTATATAAACTCTAGATGGCTTACAATTAAACTAAAAATAATCAAGTGGAATTGCATGCATGCATTAGGGCATATTAATACATGTGCTGATAAGGAACAACCTAGCCAGAGGTCATTTCGGGTGGGAACGCGGGGGAACACAGTTCCCCCGGGTGAGGTGCAGGGGGGCGGGGCACATGACGAAGCCCCGCCCCCTGCTTCCGGCCGCCCTGCTTCCAGCCCTCATTCAGCCAGGAGGAGGCAGGAGAAGAGGGAGGGTAAGTTGCTTCCTCCCCGCCTCTCCCCACCCCTGCCTGCCTGGGGCCAGAGGGGGCCTTGGCGGGGCTTCCTCGGACTCCCGCTGGCCTTGCAGGTCCACCGCCGGGCCCCTGATGTCAGGGGGTGTGGCATATGCTAATGAGTTATGCTAATGAGTTCCCCTAGCTCTTTTTCTACGAAATGACCCCTGAACCTAGCCAAACAATATCGGGGTAAGTAAGTCAGTGCTGCTGCAGTAATTGGAACGGGGCAGTTTAGCGAGGAAGGCCTTGAGACAACCCAGAGTGGAGTGCAAAGAGGGTGGAGCCCGGTGAGGCATTTGTGGGTCAAGGGGGTGGAGCCTGGCAAAGGATTGGTGGAACAAGAGGATGGAGCTGGGTGAGGTGATGATGGGTGTGGGGCCCGGTGAGATACAGGCAGTTCAGGGGACAGAGTCCCCCGGCGCAAAACATTCGTGTTAATTAAATAAAAATAAGCCTGCCATCAGACTCAAGGAGAACATCGCAAATGAACAGAAAATCCTGATCATTGCTAACCATACCTGATACCGACTTAACTCTGTGCTGGATTGTGAGCCCAAGGCCCCCTACAATCCTGTGCATGTGCAGGTACTCATTTTAGGGTTGCCAAATGTTTTTTGGCAGGGAGCGGGGGGCTCCCGGCCGGCGTCTTAGGTGCGTGCGCGCGCGTCACCCGGAAGTGACGTCGCACGCTGGGGGCGGGGCCACGCCATTTGAGGGGAAAACAAAGAGTTTTCCCCTCAAATGGCATGGTCCCGCCCCCAGCGTGCGACGTCACTTCCGGGTGACGCGCATGCGGGGGTGGGGTTTTCCCCAGGCCCCGATTCCCCGGGAGCGGAAATCGGGGCTCGAAAGCGGGGGGAATTCTGCCCCCTGGGGGCATTTGGCAGCCCTAACTCATTTGCATATTAAGCGACACACCCCTAATGTAGCCAATCCTCCAAGAGCTTACAGTAGCTCCTGTAAGAAGAGTTCTGTAAGCTCTTGGAGGATTGGCTACATTAGGGGTGTGTGGCCTCATATTCAAAGGAGCTCCTGCTACAAAAAGAGCCCTGCGAGAAATAAGGCCCGTTCTTCTTAGAGGGACTTCCTGTTGAGTGAGTGTGCACAGACGTGGCACTGCCGGTGGGTAAGCCAATCAAATGTCGCCATTTCCCAAAATTTCTAGGGGAACACCACTGATGTTCCAAGTCATCTCTGAAACGCGTCGAAATCGTCCCTAGTTCCCCCCCCTTTTAATTTAACGCGTTTTGAGTAGGAAGGCCCCAAATTCGTTCAGTGTCCCCCCCCTCAAAAAAAAAAAAAGAAATTTGGACAGACCCTCCTTCTGAAACTACTGTCTGTGATTACTCTATTGTTTGATTGCAATGTCAATGTGATTAAAACGGAAAAAAAAACATCAAGCAAGAAAATCTTATTGCCAAATTGAATCCCGACAAATGTATGGTTTGTTTGATTCCCCCCACCCCTCCTTTTTTTTGTTGCTTTCTCTGTCAAAAAAATCGTGTTCATTATCTTCTGCGTGTTTGCGTGTGTGGGGAAACGATTTGATGAAACCGAACACCACCTCCATTTTGTCTCTGTATGTCGCACATCTTGCTTATATATATATATATAGATATATTTTCACAGCTGTTTTTTCAAAATGCCTTACTTTTTCACGTTTGTGTTTGTGTGCTTTTGCCATTCGAGGGGCTGGGAAGCTGGGTGAGGTCCTCAAACCATGAACTTTATCAGGTCGACACTGAAGTAGAGAGGTTTTTAAAAAAAGGATCATGGCTTGGGTGGGTCAAACCCATCCCAATAATTTCTAAAGGTGTGAGGGGATTCTGTAATGCAGTTCCGATCTCTCTGAGGTGGAACGTTTTACAAGTGATCTCAGAAAGCAGTTCTAAGGAGGTCTACTCAGAAGTAAGTCTCATTTTATCCACTGAAGCTTGCTGCCTGGGAAAGTGTGCTTAGGAGTGCAGACCTCAGTGAAATATTTCGGGATCTTTATCTAAAAATCTCACAGGCTAGGGTCGCAAGAGGCAGGCGTGCTCCCGTCTTCCATGTCATCTTTCTGTCTCTTATTTTCCCAACATTTCGATCTGGTATTTGATATTATGGACGTAGCTCTCGAGCTGGCCAAGGAGTGAATGAAGTCTCGTCTCACCCATAAGTGTTGCATGCAAGCTACACGGGGTAGAAAGCTTTAAAAAGAATTGCTCTGGATGGGAGTTTTATCGGCGTTTATTAACAATGCTGGTTCCGCAAACACGGAGGACATAGACAATCAGCTGAGGTTGGCACAACTGGAAGAAAAGTCTGCCATGCCAGAAGCAGCTGACAGATTGTTGTCAATGAGAATGTGCAAAGGGTCACGGGGAATCGACTCGTTTTTCGATAGGCTCATGAAACCTTCCGATGTTCAGATGCTTAATCAGAAGGGAAGTTTGTTTGAGGAGGCGGAGCTTGGCGGCACTTGATTTTGACGAAA